TTTAGAAAAAATTTTTCTTAAAAAATTTATTTGCAATAATCTGAGGTATCTATCTTTTTGCACCGGACCATATTATTACTAACGTTACTAATACGTATTGTGACAACGTTAAATCGTTTTATACTGCTTAACTTAACAGCAACATTTAGTAAGCGTATATTAATATGCCCAGATTTCGTTCCATTATACAGTCGTTTGAATGCATTAATGCAACTTCGATACTTAATAAATCGTTTGCTTATTGAACTAACATCCACAGTATCCCACTAATCGCTTTAGGTAGAATAGCTTTTATTGTTAATCAATGAACACAACAGACATGCGATGTCTCTCCATCTACCAAAAATCTTATTATATATATCCTGATCCTATCCTTTCTATTGATTATTTCACATTATGCTATACCTATAATGTCAACAGAAAAGTAATGTGGCAGAATACATGTAAAAAACACTAAGGCTCTATGCTCTACACCGTTGACGAGCATGCTCATCTTCATAATGATCCATGAAAGTGTAAGAAAAAAAGGTTACTAGTCTCTTAGGTAAACATCTATAGTATCATGCAACCGATGCAAACCCCCCATTGCATCTTCTGTGAAGGGGTCCCCTGTGGGGTTAGCTTTTGTGGGACCCCCTCCAATTCACACTATCGCCCAAGAAGACTTCATTCCGTTGTTGGAGGTATAGCCAGTAGCATAACCGTGTAAGTAGTCTCGCTCAATATTGGCCATTGTTGCTGTAACATTGGGGTTGGAATCCTCACGTGCACTGATATTTTGGCAAAAAGCAGTATCCTTCCGGCGACTGCGGCGACTGCTGATAATGTTTGAAGTGGGGGGCGGCGGTGGGTTTGGGAAAAGGACTACTGCTTGAACAGTGTCAGCGTCTATTATAAAGAATAAAACAGTATGTCAACGTCGAGCTTTCCAAAAGCATCATAAAGCCAATAAGAAAATACGTCAATTTATCATATTATACTAACCAATTTCGCCAGACTTCAGACCTCCATTTGGCCGAAGCTTCTTCAATTATGGTTTTGAAGTTCGGCTTTTCGTCTAGTGGAAAGCTTGCTGCATAAGTATTTGTGTCGTAATTACACCTATGGCAGCATACCTCTTCAGATATAACAAATACTCAGTGACCTTCGCCTCGTGTAGGTGGCGCCCTCTGCACCGCTTATATAAATTCCCCCTCCTCTTCTCTTTTCCTTCCCTCTTCCGCACTGCTTCTGCCACAATAATTCCTGTCGTCTCACGGATTCGATTGCTGTCGCCAAATCCCGTGCTAACACTTCGTCTCTTGCACTTCCTCTTCCACTTCGTCTTGCGTGTGTATTTCTTGTTCTCGCCATGGTGACCATAGATAAGTAGAGTCATCTTGTATAGTATATGTGGGTAATAAGGGCTTTTGCAGAAGACAAAAGTTTCAGACTTCTGGTGGGGGTGTGTGTTGCCAGATAGAATTTTTTTTTCTCCCGCGCCTATCACAAGAGAATAAAATCTATGACGTTTACCATGTCCGACAACACAATACAACAGAACTTGTACAGAGACAAGTCCAATAACAGAAATCGTAGGTGTAAACAAATAAAGAACGCAAAACTCCAATAACAGAAGAGGAAGCCAGTATAGTATCAATCCGGTTGTTTAATCATTTTTAAAACACGAGGTTGATAGATACCAAAAAAAGTTAAAGCACCAGAGGCATCATTTACCTCTAGATAATATCAATATGATAAATCAAAGGATAGGGTTTCTTTTAAGAACTGAGGACGTAAATTGCTCGCTGTCAAAGATTTCTTAATTTATATTCACGCATATTATTATCGGGGTGCTATTTTCGGGGTGCTTTCGAAACTGTAGGTAGGGTATTACAAAAACCAAAAGATTGCTTCGAATTCAGCAACAAATGGCCAACGAGCTAATAAGACTATGCTGCTTTGTAATTCGCGAAGACTTTGGGGATCTTATTGAGGTGTTTATCCTACTCAGATATTTCCATGTCCGTATTTCACTTCTAACACCAATTTTTTCTACAAAGAGACCGGCAAAGGTCCTCTTTGAGAAAGGTCGCCTTCCAGCAGCCCTAATAGCAAGATATAGCAGTCTTCCATTGGAGAAAGTCAAGGAATGCTTGTTTATCCTAATACAGCACAATCTTGTATATTGGGCGCGCGAGGTACCAGACCAGACAAAATCACCTATCTTCTATCAGATCGACAGTAGGGAGGTGCTGTCACGGATAAAATTTGGTGTTTATCTCAACCACACCAGAAATCGTTTCGGAAATGAAGTATGTATGCAACTGGCGATTGCTTAATCGATTGTCATCGATCTTACTGAGACTCTCATTCAGGGCCAAGTTATAATAACATACGTTCTTCTAAACGGAAAAGCATCTTTCAAGAGCCTTGTAGAAGCGCGAAATTTATCAAAACGAACGAAAGGTGTGCATTGTCTTTAGAATCTTTGTTGTAGATCCATGTGTACTCGTACTCGTATTCGTATTCGTCTTTTCCTTACTGTATAGTTATACCATCATCTTAACAGTCTTTTCTTTTAGAGTATAAAACACTCAAAGAAAAGTATGCAGAGCTTGTGACCGAAGGTTATCTCAAATACTTGAAATATACCGATGCACTTTCTGCACAAGACAAGCAAGATGCAGCAGAGCAGCGAGAGTTGGCAAAGATGACTACCTTTGTTCCTACAAAAAAGGAAAAAGCAGAAGCTCGAGCAAAAGTTGCTGAGCTGGACAGTATTGAATCGGCAGGAGGAAGGAAACGAAAAAAGGCTGTGGTGGACGAGGACCATTCACGTCTAAGCAAGCAACCGAGAACAGAAGATGTTTTCGAAATTATTGAAGATGCGCAAGTCCGCGTCAACTATGAAAGATTTAATATACTGGCGCGTAATGATCATATCACATCGTTTGTAGAAGAAAGAATCAATCCGGCAGCAAAGCTAGTTATGAAAGTTATCCTCGAACTTGCTGATGAAAAACGCTTAGATGCAGAAGAGTCTAGGGCAATGTCGGCTCAGACAATAATAAGAAAAGTCCCAACAGAAGATATTTTGGAAGATCAAATAGAGCTAGAAAGGCAAGATCCATCCCATGAATATCTCGTGAGCGAATACCTCGATCTTTTGGTAGAGGACGGTTCAAAGTTTATCCGAAAGAAGGACGATAGTATGAGCGGATTATATTCGGTAAGATACAAGGATCTAATCGAAAGGTTAAAACAAAGGAAATTAGAAAGTATATTGCAAGAGAAGTATGGGAGCATGGCTGTCAGAATATACAAGATTCTACAAGCAAAGGGCAAACTAGAAGAAAAAAATGTAAGTGTTTATAAACTGAACGAGTATGCTTGCATGGATACAAACTTACGCGACATGTGTTCGATAGATTGCTTCACTGGCAATGTTGACGCAGGCAGACGCTCGCAAGATTATTGACCAGCTTTTTGTCGAAGGACTTGTGGAGCTACAGGTGAGTTATGGATACGATTAGCCCATGTCTGCGACACGTATATCCTTTACTTTCGCACCGTTATAAATTTTTAACGTGCGTCATATTGACCGTCAACCAGGAAGTACCTAAAGCAGCGGATCGGGCTCCATCGCGAACTTATTATCTCTGGTATGCCGAGCCAGAAAGATGCTATCAAAAAATTCTCACATGTCTATACCGTACTCTTGGTAATATACATGAGCAAAGAATGTACGAAAAAGAAGGCTATGCCCGACTTATTGAGCGAAGAGCTATCGCAAGATTGCGTTCTACCATGCACTTGATGACTCCAGAAGAGAAAGAACAATTACGCATCTTTGATCAATCCATGGAACGACTGGACGTTGCTGCTCTGAGAATTGTAAACTTGGTTATGATTTTGACTAACTATCGATGAAATGGATCGCTTTTAACTAATATTTATAGAATAATATGTAATATTATTAATTAAACCCTCTTCGATGACGGGACAAGATGAGCGAACAAGTAAACGTTAGATGTTCACGCCATTGGACAACACAACACGGGAAGAATTTAGCAGATCATTGGAGGATTTTAGACCAATATTCATGTTGATATTTATATAACTTTTCCAAAAAAACAGCCTCCAAAAAGTTTCCTGCAAGAACGTCTACTATTCTCCGGGAGATATTTCAAAGACTTGATCAGAAATGCTATCTCGCCCTATTATTATCTCAAATTTTGAAATCATAGAGCAACAATCAAGCATACTTATTTTCGCTACTCTACCTTTCAACACAATTTTCTCCGAACTCTGGCTTTCTCCTAACTTTCATGATTCGCCTCTTAAAGTAATTAACTTTCTGCTATTCCTATAATCACTTTTAGGACAGGTATCGGTTATTATATGCGATCACCTGAGAGAGCATTGGCATATTCTTAGAAAGCACGGCCTTTTACTTTGCTACGTGCTCGTGTCAATTAAAGGCTCACGAATAAGGGGATGGGATTGGATTGTACTAGAGACAGCACTTAATATAATTCAAAAATCGAATAAGCGTATTCATTATAAAAACATTGATCGGTTTGATTAATTTCATGGTTTCCCCGCGGACTATAGGAAATTTGATAAATTCTTTTCCTTCTAGTGTTGGAATCAGAGATTCTGCTTTTGGCCGTGTTATGTGCAAGTGAGAGACAAATTCGTTCTGCGGTTACATACTAGATATTTTTTAATTGCCACGATGGCCGGACAGAAATCGTATAAGATAAATGCGAATGCGTCGACAAGAACCAGAATTTTTTTTTGTCTTACGTGATTGGTGTCGATTTTTATCTATGAAAACGAACTTTTGAATATATCAGCACTCAATCTCATACTCATTTTTCGCAATTTGCGTGTCTGTACACAGAGACTCATTCATGTGACGATTACAGGTGTTAGTAAGGAAATGTCTCTAAAATTGAATCGCGTATTCATAAAGTATATTTTGACAAATAATAGGTCTAAAACACGAAATACACTTAGATCAAATACGTTTACAGCATAACACATAAATAGGTCATAAGGCCAATTCTTTCGATTATCGGGATTTACCTGCCAGGTCACACAACCTGTCAGGTAAATTCCTGATTATCTTTTTAATGTAAGTAAAGCGGAGTGCAATTTACTCGTTTGGAAATATGTTTCTATTGTAAATATGAATGTGAACTAGATAATAATTCAAGCAGTCAAAACATAGAAAGTCAAAGTAAAACCTAAATTCATTGAGCAACATAATTCAATAAGCCAGAGTTGGACTTCTCATTTAACGAAGTGACCACTCAAATCCGCAACTTAGCGGAGAAAAAGATTACCGCCTCTACATTGCCGAAGAACATTAATAGCATTAATAATAATAACGTATAGAATAGCGCAACCAAAGTATATGGATACTGTTTGGATCCGAATACTGCAATCGCTCTAGTGAATATGCAAATGTATTAATATTTTGTTTAAGAGAGTAATAAAGAGATAATGCCTTTCTTGTTCTCGCAATTAACTATCACCTTGCAATCTATCTTTTCATAACGATACAATTTTAAACAGTTCAGTTATGTTACATACTAATTTGGTTTGTTTCAAATCCAATTGTATCACATCACACAAGCATAAACAAGCGAATTTCACTGCTAGTATTGTCGATAAAACTTTTGTATTTGGTATGGACCATGAATATTCGTCGCCAGCAGACAGCTGGGTAAGTTTTGGTTATACATTCATAAGCTCATTTTTCCACATGGAATAAATTAGGCAATGCTTTTACAACTCCTTTAACATTGTTAGGAAATTGGACAGCCATCATCTTCAAATACCAAAAACAAAGGGAAAGCAAAGCAGCTTGATAATGCAGAGACTGAAGATGTGTTTGAGAGAGACCTCATTGTCTTTGAAAGTGATAGTGATAATAATGATGGTGATGACTATGAAGATTATGAACAAACATTTACAGCAAATTTGAGCAAGGTTGAATTAAATGAACAACTATCTACAACTTTGGAATCAATTATCAACAATAATGACAGAATCAGTCATCTTGTTAAATTATCCAATCTGTTGCTATTATTTGGTAGTAGGTTAGAGGGTAATCAGCTGAGAAATGTTTTGGAAACAATTGGAATTAATGTTGCATATAATGACTATGAGGTGACCACTGATATTGAATTGGAACTGCATCTTAGAGCATATGTATTTGCCTTAGAAACATATGGCAAGCGACTTGTTAAGATGGACAAGAAGTTACTTGAAACTTTGCATGAAAATCTTACAAAATTGTATGGCTTCCATCAATGTTATACCAAAGTCATAGAAAAAGGCTTACAAGGTCCAAGGGCTTTATCTGCTATTTTGGAGAGAAGTGTTAAAGTTCAAAATTACAACAATGATTATTTACTTATGCATCTTTATAATACTCTTTGTATGATGGATGATGATAAAACTGCTTGGCTTGAAATTATAAACCAACTAAAGGCTCTTTTTGCTGCACTAGTTGAGGCTTTACCTGGTATGACTGGTATTATGACAACAGTAGAGACACCAATTGACAACAAAGCTACTATTAAAATATATAATGATATTCAGAAGACGTTACAACCTAAGTTTTCTGTGGGACATTGGTACAAGGAATGGAGGTACTTGTATACAATTTACCAAGCATTTGTTGAATGGTCAGCTGCTCCAATACATAGAAATTTGGTTGCTAAAGGGGAATTGATGCTTATTAAGGATTTGTGGAGATTTGGAGACCAAGAGTGGAATAAAGCAGTTTCAACAAAGTCTGAAACAGATGGATATAAATCTAAATTAAAAATCATGTCAGATCATATTTCAGAATTAGTTCCATACTCATTATTGTTTGGTATACTGGATATTGCTCAAAAGTTGATAATATCTACAAAAAATACTAATACCTTGGCTCATTGTTACTATCTTGCAAAACTATCTCTAGACATAGTAAGGATGAAATTTATTCAATTTAAGGCAATGGAAGTTCTAATGACACTGCATAAAAAAGATCCAATCACATTCTCTGTTGTGCAAGTTGATCTAGATCAACATGTTGAAAATTTTTCAACCTTGGACCAAGACAAAAAAAGGCTTCAAGATATGAGAGGATACATTGATAAAAAATATGCTCATCTTAATCAAGCAAGCAGCAAAACAAATGTTGAAATGTCAACCTTAAGACAGAAAGCAAGTAAACCTGATCAACCATCTGAAGAACTCCTTAATTCAAATCCAAATGACTTATTAATCTTAGACATGGTTGCTGATCATCTTACATGTCAATTTACACAAGAAGT